TCTTTAAAAAGAGAAAATTACTATTAATGGTTTTTAAGCAGGATATTTAAAAACTACATTAATTCTGACAAAGACAAAAGAACTGCAGCTTTTTTTATTCAATGTAGGAGGAAGGGAGAGTATTCTTTTGAAAACAACACTGTAGGAAATAGGTTGTTACAGCTTAATAAGCTGAGCATCAGATTTTCAAAGTAAGACTCGTGGAATTTAGGAAAGAAAACAGATAAACATGTGGGAAGAGGGAAAAGAAAAAAAGGAGAGGGACACAAGCCATAAGAACTCTTAATAACAGAAACTGGGGTTGCTAGAGAGAGGTGGGTGAGGGATGGGCTAGATGGATGATGGACACTGACGAGGGCACTTGTGATGATGAGCACTGGGTGTTATGTGTAAGTGATGAATCACTGAATTCTATTCCAGAAACCAATATTTTACTGTATGTTAACTAATAATATTTAAATTTTAAAAATCAGGCTAGGAAAAAAAATAAAATAAAAATAAAAAAATCAGACTAGAAATCCTAACTTTGGATCTGACACTCATTTCTATATGTAATAAATTGTTTTCACATCAATTAGTCTTAACTGTACAAGGATCATGAAATCAAATGACTAAAGTTCTTAAGACTGTTAGCCTTATGGCTGCTGAACTATCAGACGACCAATTTGGTATACAGAATGTTAAAGCCTTTTTCTGTTTCTAGAGTAATGTTCAGATTAGAAGGTGTTATGAAAGAGAACATTCAGAAGAATTTTCTCTCAGATAAAAAGGCTGAGGGTACCTATTTTAGAGAGGTACCATAAATCAAAATAAATGCCACTACTTTATGGGACTGGGGGATAAAATGGCTCCATCCTCACACAAGCTATCTACTATCCTCTGGTACCAAGAGGAGAGGACTGTTTCTAATTTAGTCAGGTCTCAAAAGGATTCATTCATATTACTAAGCAAAGAATTATGATCCTTTGTAACACAGGAGATTTATAGATAGTTTTAAAAAACAGTGTCTTAACTGTCCATGGGTTCAAAATTGCACAAAACACTTCACTCAACTTTTTTAAAAAACCTGTAACATCTATAAGCACAGATAAGCTTAAAATATGGCAACTGTGGTTTTTAGCATATCTTTCAAATATTACTGAAGAAACTAAATTGACAATGAAATTGAGAGATGACATAGGCTATATCAGAAAAAAAGTCTTGTAGTTAAAAAAAAACAGAAAAACAGAGGCACCTGGCTGGCTCAATTAGTAGAGTACGTGTGACTCTCGATCTCAGGGTTGTGAGTTCAAGCCCCATACTGGGCACAGTGTTTATATATTTATATATATATTTTTATTTTTAAAAGATTTTACTTATTTATCTGAGAGCGAGAGAGAGTGAGTAAGAGAGAGGACGAGCAGGGGAAAGGACAAAGGGAAGAGAAGCAGACTCCCCACTGAGTAGGGAACCCAATGCCCAGCTTGATCCCAAGACACCGGGATCATAACCTGAGTTGAAGGTAGATGCTTAACCAACTGAGCCACCCAGGCACCCCTAGAGCTTACTTAAAAAAAAAAAAAATTCCTCATAATATGCTACGGGTCCTCGTATATGTTACTTAAGATATTTTCCTATTTACAACTACCTATAATACTATTACAGAAGCCCATAATACTATTATTTTAACTCTGCTATAGTTTACTTCTCCCATTTAGAGACATTCAATAAATATCAATGGCCAAAGAGAAGCTAATCAAATATCTGAACATAAATTTGACTTCATTTGCTACCTTAGCATTGAAAAAGGCCTCTGGCTTTCATTAGGATTCCTCTGGTTGTCTCATCTTTAAATTCATCAGATCTCTTTGACCTCAATGAATTTATTAATATGATTTTATACCATTGTTGTGTCTGGGGAAACTGTACTCATAACATCTACAGTCATTTACCAAACTTGTTACATGGATTCTTACATTCACTTTAGTAAGAAATAATCTGGAGTACTTTCTATATGCATATACCACTCAAATATGTAACTTAATATAGTATTTTAAAATGTAAGCTAAAAATCATTTTACATTAGCTTTAAGGAATATTTTTAGATGAGAGATGTATCCCTTCCCTTCAAGAAACACAAACAACCTCCTACTACATCAGCATAATTTTCCCACTAGATACTCAGATATGGGCTCTTTACCAGTTCTATTCTCCCACTGGAGATCAGCAATTAGTATTTTTTTTTTAGCAATTAGTATTAAATCATTATTTTCACAAGAGGCTATTTATACATAAGATCTTCTAATACTCGAAATATATGTCAAAGTGTTTTAACTATGAACATATATTATGTATAACTGCTTTACAGAAATTACCAGTCACAAAGTGTACTTTTGCTCAAAGTAATGCATTCACTCACTTCCATTCAAATACACATTCACCCTGCACTCTTGCCAGAAACTATGTAAATTAAATCAGGTCCAAAGCCTGGGAAAACAAGTGGGAAATGGATACAAAAACTGTTTAGACATTCTCGGAAATTCACACAGATAAAACATTACATGCTGATTAGAACTGTTACCTTTTAAGGAGTCAGCAAATATATACACACCATAAAATAAATAATGGAAAAAATAAGCTAAATATATGCTACTCGGCAGTCATGCAGCAAGATAGCTACTGAAGGGACTTTAAGAGATAAAGGGAGATTGTTTATTGTCATCACTGGGGAAATATAGCTAAGTTGTAGTTAACTATGTAAATGACAGATTAGTCCAGTTTACAAACAACAGACACCAAAATTTAGGACTTATATAAAAGAGACAGCTATTATGCCTTATATGCTATATGTCTTTTGTAAATAACACAAGCCTTTACCACCAGCAAATTACTAATTCCTCTGGCTCTCATACTTTGTTTTACTACCCAGATTTCCCAGTAATAAAATGTTATTCAAAGTTTTTGAGGGATATAGAGCATTAAAACACACATAAACCCCCCCTAGCCCCCCACACATGCAGTGGGCACACCATATATCAAGGAACTAAGCAGCACCAAACAGGATAGTGATTTACTACTGGTTGTTTAGGTTGATTGTACAGTGTGTGACAAGTAATTTATTTCTAACAATAAAGTTCCAAAGTTGGCAGGTTATGTTTTAATATAAAAATTAATATTCCCTATAATGTATCATCATTCTCATTCACTCACATTCCACCATGCTTTCCTAAGTGAGAGTCAAAGGGAGAAGTCAGTACCAAGAGGTCCTGGGAACAATATATGACCTAAGCTCACAATACTAATACTATGCTTCTATGTTGCAGTCCAAGGGAAGTGAACTAGAATCATGAGTCAGAATAATGATAACAACAGTTCAAACTACCAGTAAGTGCTAGCTGTTAAATTTCAATAGTTACCAATATTACACAGAGAGGTTATTAGATATTATATGTCCCCTGATGAAAGAAGAGACTACCAGCTGCATGATGGTCTTAATAATGTTATCAAATTAAATGTCAACTATCTGGTTCCAGCTGCCAACGTGCAGAAAGCACAGAGGACAGAGAAACATGTTGCAATGCACCATGAGTGAGCAATTGGCAAACCCAGACTATGGGAGAGTATGCAGGTCAAACGGCCCAGGTTCTCTAACAGAAAAACTATAAGGAAAAGAAAGGGATAGAGGGAGAACGCCTACATCACACGTTAGTAAACCACTGGTCTGTAAGTCAAGTCTGAACTTCCCTATTTTCCATAAATAAAGTTATAAGAACATAAGTACATCCATTTGTTTATGTATTGTTTGTGGCTGCTTTCACACCAACATAGCAGCACTGAATTGTGACAGAGACAAAATAGCCTGCAAAACCAAAATCTTTGCTATCCAGAGCTTTACAGAAAAGGTATGCCAATCTCTATTGCAGATTAACAGAAGTTTATAAGACAAAAAATTTTAATGGGCAAAATTCATGAGACACAAATAACTGCATAAATTATTTACAGAGATAAAGCTGATTTTAAATTTTTATATGGAAAATAAAAAGACCTAGCATAGCCAAAAAAAAAACACAAAAAAACCAAAACTTTGAAAAAGAACAAAGTTGAAGGACTTCTACTACCTGATTTCAGGTCTTCCTACAAAGTTACAGTAATCAAGACAGTGTGACACTGACAAAAAAGACATACAAGATCAGGGCAGCCTGGGTGGCTCAGGGTTTAGTGCCGCCTTCAGCTCAGGGTGTGATCCTGGAGACCCGGGATCGAGTCCCACATCGGGCTCCCTGCATGAAGCCTGCTTCTCCCTCTGCCTGTGTCTCTGCCTCTCTCTCTCTCTCTCTCTCTCTCTCTCTGTCTTTCATGAATAAATAAATAAAATTAAAAAAGAAAAGACATACAGATCAGGAGTACAGACTACAGCGTCCAGAAACAGACATATACACATGGTCAGCTAATTTTCAACAGAGGTGTCATAGAAATTTACTTATGCTGGAACAATTGGACATGTATTTGCCAAAAAAAAAAAAATGAAAGAAGAGAAGAGAAAGAATCTTGACCCTCTTAGCTCACACTACATAGATTTCCACTCAAATTGCTAAAAGTAAAAACTAGAATTGTAAAACTTTGAAAAGAAAGTATAGGAGAAAATTTTATGACAGTGGGGTAAAACACATTTTTTACATGGAACACAAAAACCCCAAACTGTAAAAGAAAAAAAAATGCTAAATTGAATATCAAAATTTAAACCTTCTGCTCTTCCAATGATTATTAAGACAAGTCATAGACTGAAGGAAAAATATTTTCAAAAGAATATGTGATAAAGGAATATCTCAAACACATAAAGAACTTTTAACAATTTATTAAAAACACAACACAATCTTTAAAATATAAACAAGATTTGAACTGACCAAAGAAGAGGTAGAGGTGGCAAATATGTACATGAGAAGATGCTCAACATCATTAGTCATCAGGGAAATACAAATTTAAAGCCACAATGAGATACTTACTTAATTGAATCTACTTACTTAATTGAATGACTGAAATTAAATAAACTGATCATCCAAAATGTTGCTGCAGTTGTGGAACAACTGGAACTTGTATACTTCGCTGGTGGGTACAGAAAATAGCAATAGTAGCTTTGGAAAATAGTTTGGCAGTTTCTTATGAAGTTAAAAATATGTTTATCATATGAACTAGTTAGTAATTCAGTGCCTAAATATTAACTCAGGAGAACTGAAGGCATACATCTACACAAAGATCTGTATGAGGTTTATAGTGCTTTCATCCATAAAAGCCAAAAACCAGAAACAATCCAAAAACTAGTGATGGTTAAATAAACTGTGGCACATCCATACAATGGAATACTACTCAGCAATAAAAACAGGCACACTACTGATATATGCAACAACACAGCAGAATCTCCATGGCATGATGCTAAGGGACGGAAGCATGACACAAAGGCTCATAATTCTATTGATAGGACACTCTGGAAAAGACAAAACTACAGGAATTGATGACTGAGGAGCACGAGGGAAGTTTGGGGGGAACTGTGTATTGGTTACATGACTATATACATTTATTAAAAACTCACATGTCTGTCTCCCTAAAATGAGTGTTTTTACTGTATAAATTTTACTTCAATAAGCCTAACTTAAAAAAAAAAAAGACACAGGGTTCCTGGGTGGCTCAGTCCATTAAGTGCATGTCTTCTGCTCAGGTCATGATCCCAGAGTCCTAGGATCAAGCCCTACATTGGCTCCCTGCTTAGTAGGGAGTCTGCTTCTCCCTCTCCTTCTGCTCCTCTCCCCTGCTTCTGCTTTCTCTAATAAATAAAATCTTTTTTTAAAAAAGGCACAAATAAACTACAGAGAAACACAAGGAAATTATTTTTATAAAAAGTATGAATAATAGTTACTTTGGTGGGAAAGAGAGGGTTATGCTTGGAATAGAGCACATAGAAGGGGTTTGGGGATGGCTGGAGAAGGTCTACTTCGTGACTTGATCAGGTGGTTACATGGATTCAACATGTTTCCATATAACTCAATCTATACATTTTTATTGGGTGGTTTTCTGTATCTGGTTTTATTTTACAATAACAGATTTAAGACAATAAACAACATGTTGGTGAGGATGTGGTGAAAAGGGAACCCCTGTACCGTATTGGTGGGAATGTAAATTGGTGCAGTTAGTATGGAAGACAGTATGAAGCTTCCTCAAAAAATTAAAAATAGAAATACCATAGGACTCAGTAATTCTACTACTGGGTATTTACCCAAAGAAAATGAAAACACTAATTCAAAAAGATATTTGCGCCCTATGTCTACTGCAGCATTATTTATAATAGCCAAGATAGGTAGACAGCCCAAGTGTCCATCAATAGATGAATGGATAAAGATGTAAGTGGTGTGTGTGTGTATAATATATATATATATGGTATATATATACATATATATATGGTGGAACATTATTCAGTCATAAAAAAGAATGAAATCTTGGTATTCATAACAATATTGGTGAACCTAGCGTGCTAGGTTTTCAGCGTGCTAACTGAAATAAGCCAGAAAAAGATAAATGCCGTATGATTTCACTTAAATGTGGAATCTAAAAAATAAAACAAACATAAACCCAGAAATAGACTTATAAATAGAGAACAAGCTGGTGGTTGCCAGAGAGACAGAGGTGGAGGAATGGGTGAAATAGGTGAAAGGGATTAAGAGGTACAAAACTTCCAGTAATAAATAAATCATAGAATATGAAAAGTACAACATAGAGAGTTGACAACATTGACAGTTATAGTCAATAACATTATAACAACTTTGGTGACACATGGTAACTACACTTATTGTGGTGAACATTTTTTAATGTATACAACTATTGAATCACTATGTTGTGCCCCGGAAATTTACATAATACTGTATGTAAACTATACTTCAATAAGAAAAAAACTTTTATTTTTTTATTTTTTTAAAGATTTTATTTGTTTATGATAGACAGAGAGAGAGAGAGAGAGAGAGAGAGAGGCAGAGACACAGGCAGAGGGAGAGGCAGGCTCCATGCCGGGAGCCTGACATGGGACTCGATCCCGGGGCTCCAGGATCGCGCCCTGGGCCAAAGGCAGGCGCTAAACCACTGAGCCACCCAGGGATCCCCAAGAAAAAACTTTTAAAATGCTAATGAAAATAGAAACAGAACTCTTAACAGCTATCAGACTTTGTTGTCTACTATGAGGCCTTGGTGCAACTCACTTAATCCTGCATTATCTTTTGGAAACAGTATAGTATAAATGAAAATACATTTTTAATCTCAGCTTTTTATATGTGAAATTAGATAAAAGAAGTACCCTATAAACCATTCAGAACTTTAGAGCTGATGAAATGAGAATACACTTAGGAATGTACTTTGAAATATTATAACATTGTAACAAAGGCAAAATACTCTTACAACCATATGAAATAATCTACAGTATCACTCCTCTGCCTTAAGCCTTTCAGTGGCACCATCCACATAGCAGTAATTTTTGGTATTTTTTGTGGAAATCCAGGGCTCAACAGACATACTTTAGGTACAAGGAATTGTGTATACTGTACAGATTGTGCTTTGCACAAGAATACTTGGTACAAGTGGGTCTGAAATCCAGCTTATGCTACTTGCCAAGCCTTCAACCCTGGTGAAGAGACTTTGTTTCTTTCCTTCCTTCTTTTCCTTTTTTTTTTTTTTTTTTTTTTTTGGTAAAATTTTATTATTTATTTGAGAGAGAAAGAGAAAGAGAGACAGAGAGAGAGAGAAGCAAGTTCCCCACTGAGCAGGAAGCCTGATGCAGGGCTTGATCGCAGGATCCCAGGATCATGACCTGAGCCAAAGGCAGATGTTTAACTGACTGTGTCACCCAGGTGCCCCGGTATGTCTCTTTCTAATTCACTCAAAGGTACCCTTTGAGCTAGCTGTAGCCCTGTTCAAAGATTCCCCCGTAAGCTAATACCTTCTGTCACACAATAGCAACGTAAAATGTCTGAAAAGCTTCTGCATCGTTAAGACGAACCACAAATAAGCGCATTTAAATTTCTATGTCCTTGATTACAAGCAGATTTGAGTCATTTGAGTTCCTTTTCTGTGAATTGCCTGTTTCTGTCCATGTTTTTTTGTTGGGTTGTTTTTCCTTGAGTCACAGAAGTTATTTATATACTATGAATTAATTATTGTCAGTTATAAGTCAATAAATCCCTTCTTCTACTCTATGAAAACTTATTGTGATACTATAAACGCATAACCTTTAAGACAGCAATTTAGTAATAACCAGTAGAGAGGAAGGTGCAAATGCTTTAAGTCCCAGACATTCCAAGTCTAGACTTCCACCTTAGAGAAACTCTCATACATAAGAATAAAGATATACATATAAGACTATTCACTATAGTATAATTTTTAATAGCAAAACATTGAAATCAGTGAAGGCTTCATGATCTAGGTAATCTTTCCCACCTCATTTCCCATCCTCCCCTATTTTCCCAAGAGTTCTATTTACTCATATGTTCATTAGCTGCCTCACCCAACATTATAAAGCACCTGCTCTGAACTAGACACCATGCTACAGGCAGGCAATCATGCTTAACTACTTGGTAGTCGTCCTGCTAAAACATGGTCTCTTACTAACTTCAGGAGGTTTTTCCTGTCCTTCCTCTGCTACAGTCTTCTATAAAGTACTTACTGGTACTCCATTATCCTTTTATTCAATTACCTAACAATAAAATAAGTAGAGGCAGTCCCAAATTACACAGTTAATTAGGTCTCAGAACAAAGGAGAATTCTCTTTTTATTAGATCCATTCAATAATTACCAAAAAATGAAATAAAATTTATTTTCCAAGTCAACATTTAGTGCTAAGAACACTACTTTGAAGAGGATGCCTTAAATACCATGTGATCTCATTTATATGTGGAATCTTAAAAAAAAAATTCATAGATACAGAAAACATATTGGTGGTTGTCAGAGGCAGGGGCTGGAGAATGGGCAAAATGGGTTAAAGGAGTCAAAAGGCACAAACTTCCAGTTATAAAGTAAATAACATATGGGGATATAATGTACGGCACGGCAACTAGTTTGTAACACTGCATATTTGAAAGTGACTAAGAGAGTAGACCTTTAAAGTTCTCATCACAAGAAAAATTCTGTAACTTTGTATGGTGACAAATCTTCACTAGACTTCTTGTGATGATCATTTCATATTATACACAAATACCGAATCATTATATTATACACCTGAAACGTAGTATGTCATACGTCACTTATACCTAAAAAGGTAGTTGTCTTTATCAACACAGTATCTCCAGCACAGAGATCACTGACCCATAATAGTCACTCAATAAATGTTTGGTTAAGTAAAGACTAAAAAGCCTCAGCAATATTATCTGACAAATAGTGCAAGTGAGAGAGAGTGTCCAAGGCAGAAGCCACAGTCTTTGGTTAATGTTATCTCAGAAGTAACATCCCATCATTTTTGCCGAATTTTATTTGTTAAAAGCAAGTCAGCAAGTATAGACCACACTCAAGGAAGAGGAGTAGAGGCCTACTATTAGTTTTGTTTTGCAGGGTTGCTTTGGAGAACGTGTCATGAAATAAAGATATGTTTAATCCAATTCTGTGTAGCTAAGAGTTTTTAAAAAGATACCATGAACTGCATGACATTTTCTTTGATTTCAAGTTGCATGTTAAGCACACTCTTCATCAACATCTATAGCAAATATAATTTGTATCAATTATTATGGTACATCTTAAAATATCTGTGTTTCAAGTGTAATGGTCTTGCCTCCTTATGAGAATGAAAACATTGTTTCCTTTAGGATAGTATTTCTATTATATATATCCCTTCTCTGAAAAAGTACTGACAATATAGTGAGTACTAATTACTTGTGAAATGCTCATATTGAACTACTTCCTCAAATAACCAAGAGTAAAGCTATGATCCCTGTACCCTACATTCCTTTAAAAATATATTACTACCTCAAATTTAATGGTTCCTAGTAGAAAGGAACTAACCTGTTAAAGACCAAAATCACCTGCCCACCTGTTATGGCTGAGGGAAGCACTGATGGATGTAGGCACCACAGTCTGTAATCCTTCTCCTTCTATCTCAGTACCGACAAGGCAGATGAGCTGAAGATCTGGTAATCCAACACAATTTACTTCATGCCAACTTTTACCTGAAAGGGCATCATTGAATGGATAATGTTTATCAAAGATAAAAGATAAAATTCTAAATTTCTACCTAATATTCCACTGAACAAACATCACCCATAATGTTATCTTGTCTTTACTCTTCCAGTATTTTGTTATCCAATAAAATTCCCAATGTAAATGAATGATTAAGTTACAAAACTGACAAAATTAATAGCAAATGCATAAATGCCATATCCCAACCCAACTCCCCATTCCCCCACCATAGCCCCAATAGCAAAACAATAAAACAAATAACTTACTCTCCATGAGGTCCAGGTAAACCAAGAATGCTATATAAACTTGGCTGGCATCTCCTATATCTAATTCCATCATTTCTAAATACTGGAAATCAAAAGGTAATTGTCAGAGAAGAATCTCTTAATATTTTCTTTCACTCAATCAACAACGATTCACTAAATATATATATATATATATATATATATATATATATATATATATATATATTAGAAGACTCTCTTCTAGGTATAATGGGAGTTAGAAGGCCTGATCTCTGTCTCTAAAAAACTTGTGCTTTTTTTTTTTTTTAAAGATTTTATTTATTTACTCATGAGAGACACAGAGAGAGACAGAGAGAGAGGCAGACACAGGCAGAGGGAGAAGCAGGCTCCATGCAGGGAGCCCAACATGGGACTCGATCCTGGGACTCCAGGATCATGCCCTGGGCCTAAGGCAGGCACTAAACCGCTGAGCCACCCAGGGATCCCCCCAAACTTGTGACTGTTAAGGTAAGCACATGCACACTTCACAACTGTTGGGCAATTAACAACTCATGATGGTTAAGTGATTAAAAACCAGTGTGTGAAATAAAAAACAAAAACAAAAAAACATGACATAAGAAATCAGAGGAGCTCTACTGGGATAGCTTGGTTGGTGAATGTTTCATGGCAGAAGTGGACACAGATTGGGCCCTGAAGGGCAGATATGATTTGAGTGAATAGAGAAGACAGGGTAACGGTGTGGGAGTAGAGGTGGGTGTAGGCCACACATACTCAGGGCCTAGAGAGTAGTCTATCTGCCAGGAGCACAGACACTTCTTAACAGGGTTTCTGTGGCAGCACATTAGTGAGAGCCACCATTTCCGTGTTCTCTGTTTGCCTTTGAAGAAAGTCAGCTAAAATATCCCTCCTGGCTTCTGTCTGATTTGTGCTTGGGTCAGCACTGGAGAACATTCTTTAGTGGACTCCCACTGCAAGGGAAGCCTGAGGTTTCCCAGCTATCCAGCGACTCAGTGGGTAAGCAGGCCTAATGCAGAGGTGAGGCATCAGCAGACCTGCATGGGTGCAGACCTGCAGTCATCCTCTCTAGCTTCATTGTAAGTATGTACAGGTGCAGGAGAACAGGGGTATCGCTAGTTGTCCTCCTCACATCTCAAATATGTTTGAAAATAACACTGAAAAGGTAACTGGAGACCAGGTTACAAGGTCCTGACACCCAAGCTAAAAGCCTGAATTTTACCCGTAAAGAAACACTGAGGATTTCTAAGCATAATAGAATGAAATTAATGTTGCATACTATATACACTATTTCTTACATATATTACATAGAGCTTAGTACGTCAAGTGCTTTACAAATATTAACTGATTTAATCCTGTAACAACCCTCTCTGGTAAGAACTGTTATTATCCCCATTTTACAAATGAGAAAACTGAGGAACAATGCGATTTTAAAAATCCCCACCCCCTCCCCCCCCAAAAAAAAAAATCACAAAGCTAGTGACCTAACAGGGTTTCCAACTCAAGCAGTGTATTCAAAGTCTGGGGCAGAACTACTGGGTTCATGCTTCTTAAACGTGTTACGGTTCTTCTTTTTTATGGCACCGAAAAACGTATCCATGTTTGTTTTTTTTTTTCACCTTGATGGGGGGAATAAGGGGTTAGAGGAGGAGAATAAAATCAAGAAGGAGAACTTGAAAAGGGATTGACTCTTTTCAGACTTACACCTTCGGAAGTTTCCTTTTGACTTTTTTTTTTAAGATTTTATTTATTTATTCATGATAGACATGGAGAGAGAGCGAGAGAGGCAGAGACACAGGCAGAGGGAGAAGCAGGCTCCATGCAGGGAGCCCGACGCGGGACTCGATCCTGGGTCTCTAGGATCACGCCCTGGGCTGAAGGGGGCGCTAAACCGCTGAGCCACCCGGGCTGCCCTTCTTGACTTGTTTTTAGATAATGGTCTATGAACTACTGCTTGCTCCCCAGCAGAAGACCCCCATCCCATCGTACTCAAGTAACCCGACCAGTCCGAGATTTCCCACAAAAGCCCCACCTCCATTCACTGGCCCGTTACTGGTCCAGGGCAGCAAGCGGCCAAGCAGAAGCGAGCAAGGATCTATCTCCTTTGCTCCTTTACAGAATAAAACAAAACAAAACAAAACAAACAAACAAACAAAACAAACAGTCAAACCAAGCCAGACCCCACACCCGTAATGCAGAGCAGCCCCGCTTTGGGGAAGAACCCATTGCAACGTCACAGGGATGAGAGCGCCTCAGCGCGCCCGGGGCTCCGGGCGAAGTGCGCACGCGCCGGCGCCCACGCCTCGGCCCGCGTGACCTGCGCACGGCCCCACGGCGCTTCTGCTGCGGGCGCGGTGCCTGCTGGGTTCCCGCGAGGACTGAAGGAGGCCGTCCCCGGGGGCGCCCCGCGCGGCAGAACGCAGACAGGTGGAGGCGCGCGAGGGAGCGCTGCCTCGGGACGCGGCGGCCGGACGTCCCGCTCGGGAAAGGCTTGGCTCGGGCGGGGTACGCGGCTGCCCCAACGAACCGTCCGGCTCGTTTAAACAAACGTGACACCGCCGGCGGCTGGCGGACCGCGCGCGCGTCCCGGGCCCTGAGGTTCGCGCGCAAACCGCGGGGAGGAGGCGACCCTCCCCCCGCCTCCCGCCCCCCCCACCCCCGGGAAGGCGCCCCGCTCCTCCCGCGCCTCTGACCTTTGGGTGGGTGCCCATCCAGGCGTCCTCGGGGGCCCAGGAGGGGGCGCCGCCGCCGCCGCCGCCGCCGCCGCCGCCCGGGCCCAGCCCGCTGCAGCCGGGGGTGGGCTCCGAGCCGCCGCGCTCCTCCATGCCGGGCCGGGCCGCGCGCCGCTGGTGCACCACGCCCCGCGCCCGGCCGGCAGCAGGGGCGCGCGCGTCTGCGTTCCGCCCTCCCCCCGGCGCGCGGAGGGTGCAAAGACTCGGAGCAGAGAGAGAGGAGCTCCTGCCTCTGGCGATCGCAGCGGGAGCCCGGGCGGACGGCGCGCTGCAGCTCCGCGGGGCGTGTGCTCAAGCCTGGGCAGGTGCCAGGGGCAGAGAAAGTTCAGGGGGGCCCCCAGCCCAGGAGCCCTTCATCCTCTCTCCATCCGTGCTGTTTGCAGCCCTGTGGGGGCAAGTGGGAAGTGCCGTAGCATTGGCTGCAGGGCTCCAGTTGCTGGTGACCCCGAGAGCCTCTCTCAGGTGTGCGGTCGTGGAAGTTTTCAGGTGTGGAAGTCGATGAGGTCTCTAGAGGGGAGTGGAAAGACGAAAGCCCAGACTGCCTAGAACCAGGTTTTTAGGCCCGACCTGCCTTTGAGGATTAGAGGAGGGAGAGAAAACACACGACTCGTTGAAGGAGAGCGCAGAACTTTAGGATGCAGACCGTCGTGAGCATGTGACCTGGAAGCCAGGGACGAACAGTTGCAGATACGCAGAGGAGGACACGGTAAGCATTAATGCAATAGAATCCGGAACCTCTCCAACTTCCCATTCATAAAATCCCAGGTATGATTCAAAGTTCCTGACATATGGGCAGCCCGGGTGGCTCAGCAGTTTAGCGCCGCCTGCAGCCCAGGGTGTGATCCTGGAGACCCGGGATCGAGTCCCACGTCAATGCTCTCTGCATGGAGCCTGCTTCTCCCTCTGCCTGTGTCTCTGCCTCTTTCTCTCTCTCTCTGTGTCTCTCATGAATAAATAAATAAAATCTAAAAAAAAAAAATCCCTGACATATGAAAGTCATGAAACTGGGTCACATTTTTTTTTCGTCTGCCTCTGAGATGAATCACATGTTGAAACTGACGGATAAAGCTTTTAAACTGTTACAACTCTCTTCAATAACGTAAAACAAAACGTGTTTTCAGTAAACGAAAATCTCAGAGGAGACCAAAATCTCCTAAGAGAGAAAAGAAGAGAGAGCCAAATGGAAAGTCTGAAAATGAAAATTTCAGAAATAAAAAAAAACTTCACTGGGTGGACTTAACGGCCATCTGGAAATTAACAGAGGAAAAATTAAAGTGAACTTGAAGGTCATCATTCAAGAAATCATCCAAGATAAATAACAAACAAAAATCATGTTAAAAAATGAACAGAACCCAAGACCTGCTGCATGACATCAAACAATCCAGCATATAATGTAAATGGAATACCCGTAGGAGAAAAGAAAGACAATGAGGCAGAACAAAAAAAATGGAGAGATTAAAAATTGCCCCAAATTTGATGGAAGAAATTTGCAGGTACAGAATGCTACATGAATAACAAAATAAACATGGTGAAGGCCACACTGAAGTCAACCTGCTAAAAGCCACATGAAAAGCTTGAAATGCATCAGAGAGAGAGAGGGAGAGGAAGCGTGGGAGGGAGAAAGAAGAAAAGAAAAAAAAGAAAGGAGTGCCTTCCGTACAGGGAAAAGTAGTGCATCTATTCCTGGTGTGAGGGAAAACCATACGTGAAGACTGGTAAATTGTCCCAGAATGTATTTCATTTGAATGAAGCTATTAAACTTTATTTCTACAAAGCAGCTGCTCACCCCCCACCAAAGAAGCAAATGACACTGAAATTAGTATGCTCCCTGAAGCATTGAACAGTGACACCAATTCAAGTAATTAGAAGAAAATAAATCTCTCTGACTCCTAAAGATCCCAAACAGTTCTAATGATGGTAGTTATAGAAGCATTAACAACATTTTCTTCCCAATATAAGTAAAGGGGAGATTTTATAAATCAGTAAGGAGATCCAGTGGAATTAGGTACCATGTGAACAAGGCTGGCATATCTTCAGAGGAAGATGTTCAGCTTAAGTTTAAGAAAAAAAGAGGGCCAAGGAATCCAAAAGGATGCAGAAAGAACCATAGACTGGAAAAGCGGCCAGAAATGTAAGATGCAAACCATCATGAGCATGTGACCCGGAAGCCAAGGCTGAAGAGTTGCATATAGGCAGAGAAGGACATGATAAGCATTTACACAATAAAATCCAGAACCTCTTCAAATTATCATTCACTAAATCCAAGATATGATTCAAAATTCCTGACATATGAAAGTCATGAAAATGGGTCACATTTTTTTCCTCCTGACTCTGAGATGAATCACATGTTGAAACTGACAGATAAATCTTTTAATCTATTATAATTCTCCTCAACAAAGTAAAACAAAACAGGGCAGCCCTGGTGGCGCAGCGGTTTAGCGCCGCCTACAGCCCGGGGTGTGATCCTGGAGACCCGGGATCAGGTCCCATGTCAGGCTCCCTGCATGGAGCCTGCTTCTCCCTCTGCCTGTGTCTCTGCCTCTTCTCTCTCTCTCTCTGTGTGTCTCTATGAATAAATAAATAAGTAAAAAAATCTTTAAAAAATTATAAGAATGCTTTAAAAAAAAAGTAAAACAAAACATGTTTTCAGGAAATGAAAATCTCAGGAGACAAATAAAAATCTCCATAAGGGAAAGAGAAAAAAGAGCCAAATGGAAATTCTGAAAATTAAAATTTCAGAAATAAAAAACTTCACTGGGGGATTTAAGAAAAAAATGGAAATTACAGAAGACTTTTAATGTCATCATCGAGTACAAAGAATTGAAGACTGGAATGGGTTGTATCTTGGCTTCCATGTTAAAAAATGAAAATGTAAATAATTCTTGGTGGTATGGAATAGCTAAGACAGAAAACAAAGGATTTTGAGAAAACTTAAAGTATAGAATCAAAATGAGTTACTGTGGCCATCTAGAATGAAATCCACCAGAGAACTGGTTAGAGTTTCAGCTTCTCACAGACTGAAGAATTTCTCCTTTTATAAATGCTCCAATAGTAGTTCACTATTAAGTGAAATTAAGTGGTTAGAAGAAAAGCTAGGGAAGTAACAACAAAAACAATTCTCCTTGAGTAGAGTGGATGTAATCAAATTCAATGTAATCTGGCACTTGCTCTACTGATTTCCCATTTTGATATCCAAGCCAGACCATTTTATTCCTACAAAAAAAAAAAAATCTTCTCCTACTTCTTCTTGCATGACACAGTCATACAAATATGGACAGAAATGATGTGTCCAGGCAGAGACATTTTAATTCAACTAGAGTCTGAAGAGAAAAAATAAACTTTGAATTCTGATGTGAGTTTTTAGTGTTTAAAAAGAAAAAGGCTTTTTACACAGTATTATTAGGACAATGATTTCAAGCTGAGAAATGGAGGCTAGCATTCTATATCAGCTTTTAATACACTGGTTGAAAGAATGCTCATACATATTTTGTTCCTTCTTTTATACATAAAGCATACAATTTCCCATTCTTTGTATTTCAAGAATTTGTGAAGTGTTTATACCTTTAGTAAAACATTCAGAATGTTATATTTTGCCATTCATGTGAATGAGCATATATGAGAGACCTCTATTATATAGAAAAGAATGTAAAGTGATCCAAAATATTATCTCCAATTTCTCATAAATTTAAGAGTACAATCTAAACCCCTCACTTACAAAATCAAGATGTAGTACATTTATTTTTTAAATACTGCTTCCATTTGGAACAAAAACTACAACAAATATAAGGTATGAAGGATAAAGAGGAGCAACACTTTAGAGATTATAAATGTTATTGAAAATTGTTAGAGAAGACCTAAATATATGGACAGACATAGTATGCTTCTGGAGAGATTCAGTTTTGTACATGTGGTAGTTTTCCCCAAATTGATCTATAAATTCTAGCAACTCTAGTCACAGTGCCAATGGGGATTTCCCTAATATCTGATAAGCAGATTCTGAAATGTAGGCATAAAAAAACCAATAATAACTAAGACCCTTCTGATGAACAAGCAGAGGGCATTTATTATAAAGGTCTATAATTAAGAGTATGTCACATCGATGCAGATACATGATAGATAAACAAACCAATGGAACCAAATACAGAGTCTTACAAATATGGACAGAAATGATGTTGTAGATGTGGAGAGGAGTTGAAGCAATTATATATATATATTAAGAATATACATTCACACACACGTAAATTGGATTCCTAATTGCGCTATAAACAAAATCAGTTTCAGGTGACCTAAAGGCTTAAAGTTAAATCCAAATAAGTAAAGATTCTAGGAGAAAAATGTAAAAGAATTTTTATGACCCCAAGATAGAAAAGGATTTCCTAAGTAAAACACAAAATTACCATCAATATGAAAAAAAGTTTGCTATGTTTGACAACATTTCAATTAAGAATTTCTGATACAAAGATGGTGTGTTAAAAAATCCATAGACTTGGAGAAGGCATCTGTGACACATAATTGGAAGAAAGAATTCATATCCAGAATATATAAAGAACTCCTAAAAATCAATTAAGAAATGAAAAAAAAAAAAAGAAATGAAACACTCTATAGGGAAAAAATGTGAATAAATAAGAAAAGGACATAAATGGCTAACAAACATTAATTGGTACTCAACCACCTTGGTAGAAGGAGAAAATCTAAATTGACACAAGAAGGTACCATAAAATATCTGAGTTTAGTAACAAAAGCCAAGAGTTGGCGGTGGTGACTTTGTTGTTGTCGTCTTCGTCGTCGTCTTCTTCTTCTTCTTCTTCTTCTTCTTCTTCTTCTTTTCTTTTCTTTTTTTTAAAGATTTTATATGCTTATTTGACAGAGGGAGAGAGAGAGCACAAGCAGGGTAGTGGCAGGCAGAGGGAGAAAGAGGCTGCCTGTTCAGCTATGGAGCTCTGTCCCAGGACCCTGGTATCATGACCTGTGCTGAAGGCGGAGGCTTAGCCAACTGAGCCACCCAGGCACTCCTAGAGTAGTGTATTTCAAATAGAAGGCTATGATCCTTAGAGATTTTGAAATAAATTGAGTGACTGGAGTCCAGTTTTTTTAAATGAATTCTTTAAAATAGAAGAGAAAGTATCAGTG